TAATACACCGTAATAAACCACTTAAACATAATTTTCATATAAGGGTCTATGGCTAAAAAACCTTACATGAACATAAAACACCAAATCAAAAAATTAAAAAAAAAAAAAAAAAAAAAAAAAATTCTCACTGAAAAATTAGTCACTGTGTGATAGCGTTGATAGCGCTTAATTGTGAACGGTGTTGGTGAATTGGGCGATAGTGCTTAAATATGAGAAGAGATGGCACTACCGTGGCTACAGTTTGTCGGTCATATCTATAATTGAGTTCATATTACTTCTATAAGTAAATAAATATGTAAATTTCAGCTTTTTGCCTGTGTATCTTGCATTGTATGCGCACGCAAATCATTTTTGGTTCTCTATAGCAAATCATCAATTTGCTCTTCCTGGCGGGTTAGCGAGCTTCTCTCATATTAGAAGAGTGCATGTTCATTTTTCATTATCATTCTATCAATTTTTTATCCTTTATTATCCTAGTCGAAATACCGTTGTTGTCATATTTAATTGTACTGTATGCTCCTTCATTCCTCATTCACTCCATTACTCTTGGAATACTTAAGTCTCATCACCCCATCTGTAAGAATACGCTTACCCCATGTACCTGCAGCAGGATCACCAGTTTCATCTCTGCATTGTTTCAAGAATGGCAATAATGAAGTGCCCCCGGTACCCTTCTCTGCTATTCCCTTTTTGGCTAAACCAGACCTCATGGTCGTAGAAGACCCCATCTTATCCTTTTGTCTGGCCTGGAGCACCACATATCTCGTCACAATTTGAATGTGTTTATCTCTGAAAGCCTTAAGCATAGCTAAGCAGGCATCATAACTCAAAACAAGCTCTGGGTGTCTATCCATATTCGCATCTACAAATTGTTTGATGTTGGCGACAATTTGAAGCCTTTCCAAGAATTCTCTATGCTTCTGGGGCATGTAATTTCTCATTTCATCCATAAATGCACTAGAAGGGCCCTTGTTGCTTACGTTAGGTTGACCGATTACTGTTTTTTCTCTTTCTCCTGTAGAATAGTGACGAACACCCAAAAGAATGTCCAAAAATTGAAGAAATGACGATTGAGCATTCGATCCTCCTGCAAAATTTCTTCTTTCTGGTTCATCTCCATACAAGACACCATCTTTGTTCAATCCCAAGTCGTTCATTCCCTTCCATCCAGCCAAATATGGCCGTATTCTGAAGTAGAACACATGAGGATCACACATTTCTTCCATCTTCATCAAAACTGAACCAAGGTAGTCAATGTTTTCTGCCAACTCTTGCAAAAGTCTCGAAATCTGCTCAATGTTTTTACGTTCGTTTCCACCTTGCTCAATTAATCTCAAGATTTCTAAGCCCAACTTCATACTTTGAGCACCTTCTTGTTCAAAATACACACTGACAAGATAAAACCACGACTCATCGATGGATCCTGTGAATGTGTTGATGGTGGTCAAGTTATTCAAATCGAACCCTTTTCCATCAGTAAGAGAACCAGCACCTTTGGATGGAATAATTTCCTTAAAGTTCCACAAACATAAACCAGCATATGTACCTAAAGGTGGTAATCCCAAGTATTCGCTAACTTCAAGTAATGGCTTTGCTAAATTCTGTGGGAGTTTATCAATTGCGATATCGGCACCCCATATGTACCCATGTGCTAAAAATGTCAAGCATTGGTAGGCTCTCCTATATTCCTCAACACAGCTCAATTGCTCGGTAGAGAGTAAGGGGAAGTCGTCATCAATTAGTTTCCTAATCCTCTTTGTAAGAATTAAAGCTGGCAAATTGTTTATAAGATTTTCCCATGGTTGGTAATAATTTTGCGGCAATCTCTCGAGCGGAAGTTTATTAGGCAAGAATCCGGTATCTGGAAAAATATCGAAATCTTCGAATTTAGGAATCACAGATGTCATTATGATCTTTCTAGAATGCAATAGCTATCCTTAATGTACCTTTCCGTCTAATAAAAGTAATTCTTCAATAACTGTGGGAAAATTTTTCAGTTTTATACTTTTACTTTAGAACTGTCAAACGGAAATGTTACACAAAGCGTCAAAAAGAAATTATCAGATCATGATAAAAAAACTGCAAGTGTGCAGCTCATATATAAGAAAATTGGACTCACTCTAACTCACATGACACAAACTTGCATCGGTTCGCATTTAAGATCAAAGCCTAAATATTATGGCGTCATTACTAATCTGAGAACAAGCGAGGTAGATTTGGGTTTGGGTCAGTTATTAATCCAACAGGAAAGTGGGAGGAGCAGGTTGAGGGATATATCATGTGTAATTGTACTTGAAATGGATAGGATATATCTCTTTTTATGGACGTCTCAGAAGCTCAATTGTGAATTGTTTCATCACTTTACAATAATTTGCAGCTAAATAGTTTAGCATATTTATGTAAGCCCGAAGCGAGAATAACTGTCGTACACATAAGTCCGAAATAAAGACCGAAACCCCACCTCCTGATGTTGCACCAACAAGCTCATTTCAATAATACATTCCCCTCTAAGTCTCTCTCAATACCCAATTCTAGTAATTTACCAAACAGTTGTGCAAAATCGTCGAAAAATCTCTGGCTGTCATTGGCATACGTCTTAACCCAACTAAAATAATCTTTGTCTCTCACCAACTCTAAGTCAGTATTCAACATCATTAACGACTTATCACTATTAGCATACTGTTCTCTGCCTGTTTCAGGAACTGTTTCTACTTCCCAGGTATCTTGAAGTAATACTTTGTAAAATTCGTTGTCGAAATTAATCGGATCTGAAGTCCACTTACCCTCCCATCCACTAAATTTCTTATGACATCTTCCTAAACCATGAGCTCCCAATAGTGCGACAGTTTCTTGATCGTTGAACCCCATTCTAGTGAAGGTTTCTCTAATATGCGTAGATGTTTTATATGCAAAAGGCAACCTGCCGTTTGGCGGAACATATTTATTATCTGTACAATCATATCGGCCGCTCTTCCATTGAATGTGAGGACCGTTCATCTCTTCAATCGCTACACATCCAGCTAAAGTCCAAAGATCCGAATACGTTATCTTCGGAAACCTTTGTTTAACCGGTTCCAAAGCACTTCTTGCTATATCTAATCCAGTGTTACCTTCGTCAGTGATTTCAGGGACGAATCTCATAGTTCCCCCATTAGAACCTCCTGTCCGCGAATCTTTATCAAATGTTGCACAGCAATGCCAAGCAAGCCTTAAGATTATAGGTGCCAAAGACCCATCGTCATACCCTACAAGCGGAATAATACTTCTTATTGCACTCCTCACTTCATTGATGTACTGCACCTCGTTATTTGATATCGAAGAGATATATTTCAGAAATGAACTCTGTAGTTTCGGCTTAGAGCTAATCTTAAGATTCAACTCTTTTCCGTTTATATTCAACTTGAGCACCTTCGATGACTTCCTCTGTGGTGTACTTCCTACAGTGGCTTCATCAAACTTGTTCAGAGCTTGCTTCGAGAAGGAAGAAAAGGAAGAAGCAACAACCTCTGAGAATTCTTCCACCTTAGGTGTAGTATTATAGGCAGAGTTTTCATTTAACTCTTTTGGTGAGATTGAGAAGCATTTAATATCTTCCAGTTCAATAGGAAGAATTTCGTTCTTCTTGGGTGATATGGTTTCGTTGAGGACTAGGGCAATATATGGACACGATTCAGGCTTTAAATCAGGAGCTGGAGTATTTTCAAATGCATGGAAGCTATTTTCAATGCTCACTTGATCATTAATGGGCCCTGAAGCCATTCTCTGGACTTCATTCGCAGCTGCCTTAGCTACATAAAACTTGAATCCCTGATTCTTTTTCAAACATATCCCTTTGAAGGAGTACAGTGATCTCTCATTGCCGACTCTTTTCAACACGCAGAACGGGGAGTGGATGAAGTAACGGTCAATTACATAGTCTGAATATAAGGGCACTCTTAATAAATCGTGCTCTTTCTCGCAGATGTACTTCACAAGTCTGATTCGTACATAGGAAATACTCAGAAATACGACTCTTAGCCTTTGTAGGAAAGTACTACCATCGTTTCCGTCTGCTACAATGGCCCTTTCAACATCCTTGTCGGAAGTCGGGAGGATTCCGCCTAATTCTTTCAAATTTAGATTGAAGAATACAAAGCTCGCAACTTCTACGAGCTTTCTTGGAAGCTTTATAACTTTAAAGATTACGAATTGCACTACTTCCAAGCTCGAATTATACCAAAAGTTACCAGTGAGAACTGGAATCACGCACAAGTACTTCACAGGGAGTAGGACTAATCTTACAACAGAAGACCAAGATCTTCTTGGAGATCTCCTATTAGCCTTCGAGGGATTCAAACTCATTTCATAGTTTGGTGGCATTATGATCTCACGTTAAAACAACTATATACTCTGCTACACTGTACCACAGTCTTATCCAGCCAGTATGCTTTGTGTTTGGTTGCAAAATAAAGTGAGGATTTCCAATGCTGCAATATTTGTTCAGTCTTGCATACAACCAAGTTCGGCCACGACCAATTTTGGTCAGGGTAATGCGGAAGATTTGGAAATGCTGATACGCCTCCAACGGTGACCCCCTAAAACATTAACAAAACACCAGCTAAACAAACTTAAATCAGCATCAATTAACCAATCAACCAATCATGTCGTTTAAAGGGTTCAAAAAGACCCTTGTGAGGGCCCCCCAAAATTTTCGCCAGAAATTGAACATGGGTGATGTCACTTCTGATGCTGTTTACGCTGATGCTGAAAGAAGATTCAAAGAAATCGAAATTGAAACCAAGAAGTTGTCTGACGAGTCCAAGAGATATTTCACTGCCGTTAATGGTATGCTTGACTATCAAATAGACTTCTCGAAGGCCATTGAGGAAATTTATAAACCAATCAGTGGTAGATTGTCTGACCCCTCTTCTACTGTGCAAGAGGACAACCCCGAAGGTATCAAGGCTTCCGAGCAATATAGAGAGGTTGTCAAAGAATTGAAGGAAACGTTGCAGCCAGATTTGGAATTGATAGAAAAGAGAATTGTGGAACCGGCGCAACAGTTGTTGAAGGTCATCCAGGGAATTAGGAAAATGGCTACCAAGAGAGAACATAAGCAAGTTGATTTAGACAGACACAAGAGAAATTACAAGAAGTACGAGGAAAAGAAGGAACGTACACCTAAAGATGAAGAAAGAATGTACGCGGCCGATGCTGAGGTCCAGGTTGCTCAACAAGAGTATGACTACTACAATGAAATGTTGAAGGGAGAATTGCCTATATTGTTTCAAATGCAATCAGATTTCATTAAACCGTTGTTTGTAAGTTTCTATTACATGCAATTGAACATTTTCTACACCTTATACACCAGGATGGACGAAATGAAGATTCCTTACTTTGATTTGAACAGTGACATTGTTGAAGCGTATACCTTGAAGAAGGGTAGCATCGAGGAACAGGCAGATGCCATTGGCATAACACACTTCAAGATCGGCCATGCTAAGAGCAAGTTAGAGGCGGTGAAGAGAAGAAATCAGTTGATGACTGGTGGAGCTCCCGGAGCATATGGAGCATACGGCTCCCCAACTTCTCCAGCTGCTGGATCCCCTGTAGCACCTCAGTATGGAGCTTACGGCTCACCAGCTTCTCCAGCAGTGGGAACTGCAGAGACTGCTTTACCAACTTATACCAGCGGTCAATATGGAAATCAATATGGTACTGATCAAAAGGCAACCTACACACCTCCAGGAGCTTCAGCAGTACCAGCGTATGGAGCACCATCCCCTGCCGGATATGCAGCTGCCACGCCACAATACACTGGGACACCAGCATACGGTACCCCCCAATCCACAGGAACCGCTGCAACACCAGTTTCAGCACCAATTCCACAGCCTGTCGTTCCAGCAGCACCAGCATCAACAGCTACTTGTACTGCATTATACGACTACAATGCCCAAGCGCAAGGCGATTTAACATTCACTGCTGGATCGGTTATTGAAATAGTTGAAAGAACGGCTGATGTCAACGGATGGTGGACAGGAAGATTAAATGGCCAGACAGGAGTTTTCCCAGGAAACTATGTACAATTGAATTAGTAGAGCAAGACATTCAAAAAGCAGGAAAAAGCAATATTGAGCCATGTTAGGCAGTAGTAGTAACTAGAAATACAAAGCAACAAAAAGCAATATTAAGCCATGTTAGGTAACAGTAGTATTTAGAAATACAAATAATTAAAGAAATACGAACTAAAAAGTTCAAGACTGAACATCAGAAGGTGATAGCATGGACCTAGAAAGTGGGAGTATGCATCTGTATTGTAGGCTAAATCAATTCAAGCGAAATTAGAGTATAGGCTGAAACATTAAGGATGGCCAGGAATTTTAGACATCCCTTAGTAACTAACTTGGCTGGATTAAGGTTAATAGTGCGCTATAGATGGTGAGACTTTTGATCAAAAGTATATGTAAGAGCTAATTGCATGCTTCAAAGGTGAGAAGATATGGATGCTGGCCGCCGGACGGTTCAATTATTTTCTACACCAATTGAAACATACATGGTAGACTACATTAGATACTCCACATTTTTAAAACGTACACTAAAATTTTCACTTCATTGAGGCAAATTAATGCTGCAGAAATGTTTCCAGGTCAGTATAGCCCAGTATTTACGTCTGAATAGCAGTCTCTTACAAGACACAATATGATTTTTAACTAAAGAGAGATCTGATTTTTGATCGTACGTTGACTACTGCAACATCTTCTGCATTCGATTCGATTTCTGGTATTAGATTTATTTCCACTTTTTTCCACTTGCTTTCTACGTATAGAGTAAAGAAGAAACAAAAACTATTCGAAATAAGCCCAGTGCTTAACTAATTTGGATATTCGCATTCATGTTAATAGTCCTACATATTGGGCAAGCACTTATGACCGTTCTGCACGGGTAAAGCAGGTAGAAACTATAAATGGCCGGCATACTAAGTCCTGCTATGCTGGTATGGCTGTGCAGAGATCTGAACGAAAGTGCTGTATCTCAATGAAATTAATGCATATGAATTGGGAGTGCCATTTGTTCTAGACCCTCTATCCCAAATTTAGATTTTGAAATACTAAAGGGCAAGGGAGGGCTGCAAGCAAGTCTAAAATTAGTACAAGAGGACCACGTGACCCGAAAAGGAAAAGAGACAAGAGGGCAGTTCATTGATCAACGGGTAATTGGATAGAGAGCCATGGTTACTAGAAGGTTGCTAACATGGGGGATGTAAGCAACGGTTGACGCAACGAGGCGCTAACTGCGGAGGAAGCGGCAGAAGTGGAAAGAAAGAAAAATAGAAAGCCGAATTTAGTTAAACGTATTTAAGCCACCGGACCACTATCAGCTGAGAAGCAGTCCAAACAGAGCAAGGTTCTATTCCACGTTATGCCAGAAGAGAAGGAAAGGGAAGGGAAGGGAAGGGGCGGCAAAGGGAGATAAGATAAGAGGAGAAGAGAGAAAATAAGACAAGGAAGAGGAGTGAAGAAGCATACATTTGAACTCTGTACAATGCAAATCTATAAATATAAAAGTAGCTTAAATCTTATTCTTACAGGTTCTTGCAGTGCAAACAGTGCAAGCAGTGCGGTGTTCTGCGGTGGGTGGGTCCTGCAGCTCAAAATAGAAATAAAGATAGTGTGAGGTGGGAAGCTGTGCTAGTAGGCACCGTGAGACGACTGACGGATGAGCTACGAAGATGGCATATAAGCATATGACCCACCAAAACCAAAGTACATGAGATCGCACCACTGAGAAACAAACACTGAGAGCAAACATCCCCCTTGAGTTGCTTTCTTCACCAGCAGCAGCAATAACACCTGCCCATACTTTCGTATTGCTTCCCATCTAGACATATTTTCTTCTCTTATATAAATATGCAAGATATAGTGGCTCATAACATGTAAATGCAAGCACAGGCGCTGAGAAAGGGCCAAAATCAAAAATAAAAGTCACACAAAGAACAAGAAAATGAAAAGGGACATGGAAAAAGAGCCAGAATGTCTGAAAAGGGACTGGCTAAAAAAACAAAAAAAGAACCTAAAAAATTCGAATACTGCCTAACTGTACACGCTACGCACGCTAAAATAGCACAGCCAAATTGCGCAGCACTCGCCAATTCTAGCAGGTAAAAAAAAAAAAGTCTTGTTGATCTAATCATGAATTGTTCTAGAGGAGTGACATAGTGCTCCTCCCCCTCGTCCTCATTTCTATTGTGCTTTCTTCTCTTCTTTTTATCGTCTTCCCTCTTCCTCTTGTTTACCGTTTGCCGTTTCTTGGACCTTCGCCCAATTCTTCCTATTCTTTCTATCCTTTCCATTTCAGCTCAACTGAATTGCCGCCCATTTCTTTCTACAATTTTCACGCCCCATATTTGGTTTCCATTCCTTCCAAAACGACTGGTCGTTAACTTTCCTTATTGTTATTTCTGATTATTTTTTATTCCCTTTCTTGTTTTATTTTTTATTCTTTTTTTTTTTTTTTTTTCGTTATTAGCTTTTTCTGTGGTCTAAACCTTTTTGTGTGCTCGTTAAACAATCGCTCACCAGGTTTATTTTTTCGTCCTTCTTATATAGAGAGACGAGTCTGTTCTAAATTTGTCCTTCGTTTTAGCGTAGGCAATTTTTCTTTTCCATTACTCTTATATTACGTGTTCCGTCTTATTTTGGTACTTTCACATTTTTTTTTTTTTTTGCTTTTCCTGGCTATTTTTGATCACAAACAAGCTCCAAAGTTCACTCCGCACAGACAGCACAAAAAAAAAAAGAGGGCAGAAGAAATATTGACTAGTGGACAACAAAAAGCTTTGAGTTTAAACCATTAGAAAAGAAACTGAATCTGTACAACTTAAACGCCCTGTAATATAATACCAAACCATGAGCCACTCCCTGTCTCCGACAAACCGTAACTCAATCTTTGGATGGGTGAAAAACCTTAAGAGAGGTGGCCTCTTGTCTAGTGACAGTGTTAACGATATCTCAGATAAAGAGGACAACTTCAATTTCAACAATAACAACAATAGTGAAGGTGGCAACGTGAATAGTAGTGCTGGATATGCTGCCGAATCGACTATTTCTTCGCCTGCATCCATAAAGCAATCTGCCCAAGACTTCCTCAGACCTAGCCTCTTGCACCATAAATCTAGATCCGCTAACAACGTCAATAGAATAAGGTCGAACTCTTTAAATCAGAGTGATAAGTCATTAAGACAGCATAGAGACTCTTTCCTTCAGCACAACCCCTTGGTTGACGAAAACAGCAAATACTTCGGGGTGCCCTTGGAAGATGCCGTTAACCAAGCGTGTGCCAAAATTTCCATATTGACTTCAGACCCTGGGAATGTCTTGCAATACGGAAGAATTCCCATCGTTGTTGCAAAGTGTGCTATATATATCAAGAAAAATGGCCTCAATGTGGAAGGTATCTTCAGAGTGGGAGGCTCTTCTAAGAGATTGAAAGAACTACAGCTTATCTTCAACGCCCCTCCGGAATTTGGTAAGAAATTGAACTGGGATGGGTACACTGTACACGATGCGTCGAGTATCTTAAGGAGGTTTTTGAATGCGTTGCCAGAACCATTAATCCCGTTGGATTTGTATGAACAGTTCAGAGACCCCTTACGGGAAAGGCAGAGAATAATAAGCTACATGAAGTATAAGGCAGAAAACCCCAAACCTAAGCAAAACGAACTGGTGGCGACTGGTGTGACAGAATCGGCGGGAGCAGCCCCTGCTGCGGGATTGACTGTGCAATCACATGTACCGCCCACGCTGAGTGTTACTCTGCCCTTGCAAACTCCAGTGGAGAACCCTATTGACGAGCCCGCAAGTGCCTTGCTCGACACTACGTCTGAGCCATTGACCGAAGCAAATATTGACAGACTCAATCTGTCGGCTCCACAAAATGAAATACAAGAATGTACAGAGAATCCTCTGACTCTGGGTGAGGTCCAAGAAACGAAACTGACTAAAAAGACAAAAAATTATAAGAAGTTGACTAAGGAAGTCCATGAAGCTATAGAAATTTACAAAGAACGTGTGGATAGGTTGCCAGAATTATCCAAACAATTGTTGTTTTACATTCTTGACTTATTGGCTATGGTTCAAACTCAATCGTCCGAGAATTTGATGTCATCAAGGAATCTTGCTGCTATCTTCCAACCTTCGATTCTTTCACACCCAAATCATGATTTAGACCCTGTAGAATATGCATTATCACAATCAGTTGTTGAATTCTTGATAAGGTATGCCTACAAATTGTTACCTAATCAGAATGGCGACGATCCTATCGCTACTGAAGACCCGACTCCAAACGGCAAAGAAGAAGAGGTAAAGTTGAAAACAGAAGGTGCTGAAGAGATGCCACCACCTCAAGTTTCGCACTTATCTGCCTCTCCAGGTTCAGACAAATTGTCTGCGCCATCAGGGCAGAAGTCACCTTTCAACCGCCACCACAGTAAATCAGTGTCCTCATCCCAGTCTCATGATATGGTTGGCTACAGCGGTGGTGCCAAAAGATTACCTATAGTTGATCTGGACAATGAATATAACTCAATCGATTTTGATATAAGCGATGACGATGAATTGTCCTCCAATTTAAACAAGTCCAACATAACTGTTGATTCTGGGTATAAAGTGAATAACAAAAACATTGATTCTGTATTGAACGAATTAGATAAAGAGGCTGTTGCGAATCCCGATACTACCATCAATGATACGACACTAACAGGTATTCAGAATGAAGACGGTGCAGAAAGCAAAGAAAGTAGCGGTGGTGGCCCACTTGCAATAATAGTGGAGCCACCTGTTGATCATGTGAGTGAACCACTATGATCATCTTAACTTATTGAAGTGCACAGCCACTTTGGAATACCCTCAGCCGATATGAATTTCATGAAACATACAGCATTACATTCATTTACCCACTGATTCATTCATTCATGCATTCACTCTCTATTATACATCATCTATGTAATAACGCTGATAATAGCTCCTGACAAAGCTAACTTCGTCGTTAAATTTTTTTTATTTTTTATTTTTTTTTTTATTTTTTTTTTTGAATATCCTTCTTCCTTCTTGCTATGTGCTTACTATCATTCAAACTACACAATTTTATATTTATGTATTATTAAAATTTAAATTATTTATTCAAAATGGCCAAAATGTAAGAGAAGCTGCAACTCTCGAGTGGGGTTTTCACCGTGTTGATATACCCAAGTCGTGCTCCGCACAAAAATGATGGGCCATGGAAATGGTCGAAACATGAAAAATGAAAATCCTCCAGAGACATGGAAGATACACAGAGAAGGGCAGCATTAACCGACCTAGAATAGCTGAAATGTCTGAAGAAGAAGCCAGATCTCCAAGCAGAGACGAAGACGATATAATAGGGGAAGAAGTCGACGATTTATTTGGGGATGATGAAGATGAGGACCAACAACCAAGAGAGGTCAATGGTGGTGATGACAGCCAAGAATCTGATGAAGAGGAGGAAGTCGATGAAGCTGAGTTGAAAGCTATAGACGTTTCTCTCCCACGTCACGCTATTTCAAACAAGACTGAAGAAAATGTATATAATATTAAAATGCCAGTATTTTTAAATGTTGAAGCTGCCCCATTTGATCCAACTGAATTTAAAGCTCAGGTTAAACAGAGTGCTGAAAATAGAAGCAAACTTGAAATGTCAGCCAAGCAATTAAACGACGATCTCGTGGCTGAAGGTGTGTTAAATGAGAACACCATTCGTTGGAGATACTCGAACCAGAACGATGATATCATTAAGCAATCCAATGCTCATTTTGTACAATGGGATGACGGCTCTCTTTCAGTGAAGATTGGCAGTGAGATGTTTGACTTTAGAGAATTACCAAATGCTGATAGTATATTGGTGAGATCTCATGATCAGTTGGAATTCTTACAAAGTGACTCTATTATCAATAAGTTGTCTAACTTGGTACCTACTTCAACGAACTCTGCAACCCATAGAAAGTTGACCCAGGCTGTGAAGAATATTCAGAAGAAGGTTAAGATTCTCAACACACTTACCGAGAGAGATCCTTTATCGAAGCAAAGAGAGGCTGACGAAAACGAGAGGAAGTTACTGAAAATGAAGAGGCAATTAGAAGCTAAAAGAAGGTTACAAGAAGAGAGATTAGAGAGAAACAGTCCAAGCTTAGCCGGAAATGGGCCAGGTGGTAGGTATGATAGTGAACCGGCTTACGAAAGATTTGAAAAAACTTATGGTTACGAAGATGAAGACGAAGACGATGGCTTTATCGATAACGATGAAGAAGAAGAAGAAGTAGAAGAGGATGAAGAGGAAGAAGAGGAGGAGGAAGATGAAGATGCAGCAGCCGAAAGATTAAGAAAATTGAAATCTGCTGGTGCTGAGAAGTATAGCAAGAGAAACGTTGAAGAGGAAGAAGATAAGACTAGAAAGAAGAGAAGAATTATTGACTCTGATGAAGAAGAATGATGAAGAAAGAAGCAGCGAAAAGAAAGACCCTTTTCATGAAGAGGAGAACTGTACACTACCCCAATCCAATAGCTTATATGTCTATTTAGTTCATTATATTATAAATTACTATATAATTTCTTTTATACTAACACTTAAATTACTGGTATATACTTTATTACTCTTTCATTCTTTTTTAACTGTCTCTTCCTTAATTTCCTTCTTCTCCTTGATTTGGCTCTTCACCCTATTATACATTTCATTAATCTTACGACTAGGTACTTTTGCGGGCCAATAGATACTGGCATACGACCACAAATGTTTCTTTTTTTTGTCCAATTGTATGGAGCTCTGGTGGCTACTTGTCCCCTCGATGAAGTCTCCAATTGTCAAGAGTTCGCTTTTAAGAATATGAGCCCAAGCACTCTTTTCCAAGCCTTTATTACCCTTGTGTAGTCTCATCAACGACTTAGAAATTGGTTTTAAAGTAGATTTACATTCGAACTCATCCATACTATCGTACTCAAGATCATTGACTTCCTGTTTATCCATTTTAGGAGACCCGGGTGTTGGGTTAGATGGTGAGGGCGTGATTTGCTTTTTAAGCTTCGATGGTTGTTTTCTAATGGCTCCTTCTCTGGTTTGCTTTGGTTTACCTGCAGCTTGTGGGCTTTCAGTCTTGGATTTTCTAATCTTCTTCTTGAGTAATCCACCTTTGGAAGTAGCACCAGGGTGGGTGTGGTTATTGGTCAGAGAAGTGGCAGGCGATTCATCTGTTTCCTTAAGTAAGCTGAATAAATAATCAACTCTTCTACCAAGGTGGACAGCACCAGGAACCTTTTTGATTACTTCTTTCGCTTTACTTTCAGATTCCTTTTCTCCGGATACTTCAGCAGTGTTTCCATTGGCAACAACTGAACCATTCATAGAGGCTTCCGAAACTTCAACCTCGTCGCCAGCTGGTTTGGTTGCTACAGGTTTGGTGATTGGTCCATCTAGGAATAACTTATTTTGTAAACCAAGAACTGGGTCATCTCTTATTTGAACCCAAGATCCATAACCAAACTTATAGACACCGACTAGTAACATGGAATCATCTTTAATAGTCCAGTCACAAGTCCACTGACTAACAGCTTTTGGAGCTTTAGGAATTTCAAATGAAGTCGGATTGTTCTTCGGAATTAATGATTCCAATATACTCATATCCTGTGGCCTTACCAAGACAAGCTCGGCATTGATATTCTTAACACCTTGGTATTCGAATAGTACCGCCTTCTTTTCTTTCTTTTTCGCAACCCAGAGGGCCATCGGATTAGCACCATCTGGATTTACTGTTGTTTTATCTTTCAGTTCCATTGCCAATTTTTCCAACTCAGCTAATGCTTTGGTTCTTCTAGCCTCCTCCTCTTTAACAAGATTTTTTGCAATGTTGATGATTTCATTATAAGCATGCTTGATTAATACAGGATTTTTATTGGAAATACTTCCATCTTCCACTAATTGTTCCCATTTTCCTGCAAGATCACCAAACTTAAGCATAGATCTATAAATTCCTCTGATTTCCTTTTCAGAAAGCTGATGGTTTTCAGTGTTTCTTTTCCTTCTAGCAGATCTCTTGCTGTTTTCGGCATCACTATCGAAATCACTGTTATTGTTGGTGGTATTTTCATCTTCTCCTTGAAGTGATTTGACAGCTGCTCTTCTCTTAGAATACATAGATATTTGCTCCTGTAAAAAGGCATCATCGGCTTTCCTTTTTTCATCATCCTTCAATTTGGTTAATTCATCTTGTGGAATAATGTCATCCCATTCAACGTCAGCCTTATAATCGGTCACTTCGAATTGCTTCAAGAATTCTTCCGATCCCAAATTGGATTCACCGATTTCTGGAGTGGTTATATGATCTTCAGCATGATCTAAAACTTCATCCAAATTCAATTCTTCTAATTTCTTTTGGTTATCATTCGCCTTGAACATATTTCCTGCTCCGAATTTTAAGATTTGAGATAATTCATTAGTCGATGGCTCCGTATTGCTTAAAAGTCCATCAGCGCCCTTTCCACCCTTTTTAGAAGATGGGTCAATAATACCTAAGGAAATGATAGCATATTCTAAAATCATCTTCTTTCTAGCACGTTCTAATATCTCTTCTTCCACTGTATCTTTACTTACAAATCTATAAACCAGAACATGGTTCTTTTGCCCAATTCTATGAGCTCTGGCCATGGCTTGTAAATCAGCTTGCGGGTTCCAATCAGAATCGAAAAGAATAACAGTGTCAGCAGTCATCAAGTTAATACCTAATCCACCAGCTCTAGTTGAAAGTAGAAATGCAAAATCCTTGGAACCTTCTGAATTGAAATGGTCAATTGAGATTCTTCTTTGAGAAGATGGAATCCCACCATCAAGTCTCTGAAAGGGATAACCCTTGATGGCCATGTAATCTCCCAATATATCCAACATCCTAACCATTTGTGAGAAAATTAAGACCCTGTGGCCTTCCTTTCTCAATCTTGTCAACAATTGTTCTAGCAAGACCATTTTTCCTGAAGACATAATCATTCCTCTTAATATATTATCTCTGGAATGGGAAACACCTTGGTTGGCCAATACTCTATTTTCAGCCCCGTCAAAAAGATAGGGATGATTGGAAGCTTTCTTTAATTCACTCATGACGTTCAACAAAGAAATTTGAGAACCATTGCTATTACCAGCATTCAAAGCCAGATAATTCTTGGTAATAATGTTTTTATAGTATTCTGTTTGCAAGTCAGATAGTTCCACTCTCAAAATTCTTTCTGTCTTGGAAGGTAAAGACTTTTCGACATCTTTCTTTAATCTTCTTAAAATGAAAGGTTGAATCTTTTGTTGTAATTCTTTAATGTATTCCTCCTGGTCATCATCTGGGGTATCAAAATCAATTTCCTGTTCGATTTGAAATCTTCCAGGCATCAAAAAATTACACAATGCGGCCAATTCCTTGATGTTGTTCTGTAATGGAGTACCAGTTATAAGTAATTTATTTGTACATTTGAACGAAAACAATGATTCATAAAGGGAAGATTCAGCATTTTTCAATCTATGAGCTTCATCGACTGCACAAAATTGCCACTTGATTTGTCCCAATTCAGATCTATCTTTCAAGATATACTCATAGGTCGTCAACAAGATATTGAATTTGGGTTTCTTATTGGGTAAATAGAACTCATACTCTCTCAAGTTTTTCCTTGATTCAGTGTTACCCAAATAATAAATACAGTTGACATCTGGGGCCCATTTCTCAAATGTTTCCTGCCAAGCAGGAATTGTGGAAAGAGGTACCACAACTAAATGTGGACCATTCTGTCTTCTGGCATATATTAACCACGATAAAAAGGCCACAGTTTGAACTGTCTTACCGAGACCCATCTCATCTGCCAAGATACCGTTTTCATTCCTGGACCACAAGAATGCCATCCAATTTAATCCTGTTAATTGGAAATCTCTCAATTCTCCGTTTTTGATGAAAAGTGGTTGCTTCACCAATTTTTCAAATCTGGGCCTTTGACTAAGAGGATAATTTGCTGACAAATTTGGCAAAATTTTGGAGTTAAGTCTTTGCTGGTACTTAGCAACTTGTTCTGGTGAAGTCTTCGCAATCTCTTCTGCATTTTCCCATGAGCACTCGTCGTAGTATAGTCTCTTCCATTTACAATAGTATTGCAATTGACTCTCACCGTTGGGCAATTCTACTCTCTCACTATCTACGATTCTTTCTACTTGAGTGAACTCTTCGATCTCGTCACGCTTTCTCTCTCTTTCGATGTCCATAGCTTCCAAGTCTTCCTTGGTAGTCAACGGGTCTGACCTTATCTCTTGGTCAATAAGAATGAACTGCTTGATATAATTTTCCACCTTTCTGAACCCTTTGAAGCTTTTGAGACTCGCTACGCTTTCCCAGGTGTTATGCACATGTGATGAATCGTTCCATTTTATTAAGAACAAGTGGTCCAACTTAGGATCATCAGTGAGAGTTGCATTCTCTTCGTTTATCTTGTGATCCATCACCTGGTCGATCCCCTTCTCTGGCTCTTCCAGCTCGATCGCTTGCTGGTAGTAGTAATAATCGTTATTATCGTCGTCATCATCTTCACTCTCAAGCAAATCCTCATTATCTTCATCGTCCACCAAGTAATTCACTTGTTTGGCGTTTCTAGAAGAGAATCTGATTTCAGCTGGTAGCACCGGGGTTAGTTGTTTCGTGGGACGTGCCTTCTTTTTAGATTTTGTACCCACTGCAGCGGATTTTCTTTTCTTGGTCCTGGCTCCTTCATAGTATTCGTCTTCGTCATCCTCATCATCGTCAATATTATCATCTTCATCGTCCCCATCATCCTCATCCATATCACTGTCATAGTCACGAGCTGCCTTCTTCTTTGTCGTCGTCTTACTCTTCTTCGGTTTCCTCACCACCTCGGAGTCACTGCCATCGCTTTCAATTATCGATGGACCCCTTCTCTCTCTATGCGATCTTCTCAATCCATAAAGCTCTGGATTCAAAGCAACTTCTTCTGCAAGCTCAGATCTAACCATACTGAAAAAAAAAAAGTGAATAGCACAAATAAAAAAAAAGAAAAGTAAATCAACAGTTCTTATTAATTCTACTTAAGATTCAACTAACCAAGTTATTGATATAAGCCTGGCAATATCCGGTCAATTCTGCTATATTTCAGGGTCTCTGAGGTCTTATTTAAAGAGTACTTCGTATGATCCTACCCTCCACTATGGAAGAAGAGATTTGATGATAGGAAAAAAAAATTTTGAGGGAAAATCCGACGACAACGCCAACAACAAAAATTTTCGGCCCACAATTTAAAGTATAAATTTACAGTATTACTTACATAGTCGGGGTAGTTACAATGAATTAAGACATTATTTGAGCATGTTCAGAGAAGGCTATATCTATACGAATTGGCAAAATAAAAAAAAAGCAAAAATTTTTCATGACATTTGGGTGAACCACTTGAACATCTTGAAGCATGGGGTCCACATCCACATGAAAAAAGGACTAACATAAATTCATGGATCCTCCAGCCGTCCCTCTGGACGAAGAGAGCATACTTGAACATATATCAACGTTTCCATAACGATAAAAGATTCATTAAATGTTACCTTGCATAATTTTGCAGCCATTTATTTGTTTATCACAGCACCAGCCATTAGCACCGTCAGACCTAGGTGCCGAGAGCGAGCGACAGGCCATTTAGATGAAAGAAAATGAACCAGTTCCACCAGCGTGATTCTCTGCTCCAAACAAGGGAGACTGTCATCAAGTCCGCTGGTTATTCGGAGCTCCATATTGGACCAATTCCTGGATGGTTGCAAAATATTTCTTAGTCTTGACTATGCAACTTAGTATGCAGTGAAAAATTCCTAGTGCTAAAAAAAAAAAAAAAAAATGTAACGAGGAAAAAATAACACTAGGGCTCTCCTCCAAAAAACAAATTAGGCGGATTACCCCCTTAATCGTCCACCTAGCCAACTCGTCGTGTGGCCAATAGGAAGTAGAAGTTAGGGCTATGCAATGGCTATGACATGGTAGGGCAGGTACACAGTGTTAGCAGTAACAAAAATCCTTAGACATTGAACAAAAATCTTAAAAAAATACAGAAATTATATCAAAAGCCGAGTCTCGCTAACAAAATGTGCCGCCAGTGATGTATCACTCAAGCACACAAGGTCACCTTTAGCTTCTGCAAAGCAATGATCTATCTTCCTCATACCGCCAGCCAAAGAGAAACCCTACTGGGCACATGCTAATGTCGAATCCAGCAAGTACCACCAGTCTTCCACTTTCATACCTTTCTCAGATAAAAATAGTAGTAGCCATAAACAGAGAAAAGAAAGATAGCTATAAAAAAAAGAGCTAGCAGGAATAAAGCGAGAGCGATTTGGGTGGGCGAAGCTGAGACGGATTTTCGTAATTTACACAAAATGAATTAGTGGGAAGTTATCTGAAACGTGACTAAAGAGCGTGCAATGGTGGTGAGAGCACGACTGGGCGTATGCGTTTTTGCTTGGATGGGCAGCGGCAGTGCATTAGCAGTGCAGTACATGAACTGCGTAGTGTAGCTTACAGTTGGGCTGGAGCAGTGAGGCAGAGAGCTGTTGCAATCCATGAGACTGGGCCAAGTTATGGTACCTGCAACCAAGAGACGAAAGAAAAGGAAAAAAGATGAAAGTGGTGATACTATACTACTTTGTCACTGATAGCACTGGTGTCCCTTATACCACCTACATCACTTACACTACTTTTACTACTTTTACCACTTATACCACTTTTACTACTTTATCCACTGTAAAAGTGTCTTACCAAAGGAGAAGGCTTCTCACTCTTCTCAATCCCCACGTAAAAGAAAAATATTCTCATTTATCTTCCAATTCTCCTTCATTCTTCTTCTATTCATCTTCACTCCCATTACCTCCCAATACCAGCAGTCTCTTCATTGAGTCTTGTCTACGCAATTACTACGAATACTCCTCTGCCAAAACCTACTTTCAAAACCTCTGTCTATTTCTAGGCTTTGACACTTTCATTTATTTAGCTGCGAATTCTCTAAGCAAATCGCTTACTCTACGCATTCCCACCTCATCCAATGATATCCTTCTCCTTAGTAATATGTTCTCTATTTAACTATTTCTTCAGCGTAACATATAGTACGCTCATCACGTGCCCCTGTCTGGATCGCATTATTTTCATTTTTTTTTTTCATTTTCTTGCCTCGCGAAGAGTTTTTGAAAAACTTTAACACAAAAAAGTCAGAAAACAACCAGGTGGTACAAGGTATATCAAATCAAGTCACATTCAAGCCATGGATAAAGCTACTAGAATTGCTATTGTCTCGACTGACAAGTGTAAGCCTAAGAAATGTCGTCAAGAATGTCGTAAGGGATGTCCTGTTGTCAAGACTGGTAAATTGTGTATTGAAGTTACACCAGCTTCCAAGATTGCATTTATTTCAGAAAATTTGTGTATTGGTTGTGGTATCTGTGTCAAGAAGTGTCCATTCGATGCCATTAACATTATTAACTTGCCAACCAATTTGGAGGCTGAAACCACCCATAGATACTCGGCAAATTCTTTCAAGTTGCACAGATTACCTACCCCAAGACCAGGTCAAGTGTTAGGTTTAGTTGGTACCAACGGTATTGGTAAATCGACCGCATTAAAGATTCTTGCTGGAAAGCAAAAACCAAATTTGGGTAGATACGATAACCCACCAGATTGGGAAGATATCTTGAAACATTTCAGAGGTTCTGAATTACAGAATTACTTCACTAAAGTGTTGGAAGATGACATCAAGGCCATCATTAAGCCTCAATATGTTGATAACATTCCTCGTGCTTTGGCCAAGTCCAAGGTGAAAGATGTTGAGTCCATTTTGAAGGCCAAGAGTGAAAAGCCTGACAAATGGGACTACTTCATTAATGTTTTAGAATTAGGCGGTGTGATGAAGAGAGATGTTGAAAACTTGTCCGGTGGAGAATTACAAAGATTTGCCTTGGGTATGACTTGTGTTCAGGACGCTAACGTTTACATGTTCGATGAACCATCCTCTTATTTGGATGTTAAGCAGCGTTTGAGAGCTGCAGAAATCATCAGATCTCTTTTGCACCCTACTTGTTACGTCATCTGTGTGGAGCACGATTTGTCTGTTTTGGACTACTTGTCTGATTATGTTTGTATCTTATATGGTACTCCATCCGTGTACGGTGTAGTTACCTTGCCATCTTCCGTTAGGGAAGGTATTAATATCTTCTTGGATGGTCATATTCCAACTGAAAACATGAGATTCAGAACTGAATCCTTACAATTTAGATTGTCAGATGCCAATGACTTTTTGGAGTTGGACAAATCTAATGCTTATCAATACCCAAGTATGGAAAAGACCCAAGGTGATTTCCATTTGAAGATTGAAGAAGGTGACTTCACAAACTCTGAAATTTTGGTTATGATGGGTGAAAACGGTACAGGTAAGACTACTTTCTGTAGATTATTGGCCGGTTTAACTACCCCAGATGATGCCAAGAAAGCTCCTAAGATGAATGTTTCCATGAAGCCTCAAAAGATTGCTCCTAAGTTCCCTGGTACTGTTAGACAGTTATTCTACAAAAAGATCAGAGCTTCCTTTTTACACCCTCAATTCCAGTCTGATGTCGTTAAGCCATTGAGAATTGACGATATTATCGATCAAGAAGTTCAACATTTATCTGGTGGTGAATTACAAAGAGTTGCCATTGTGTTAGCGTTAGGTATCCCTGCCGATATCTATTTGATTGATGAACCATCTGCATACTTGGATTCCGAACAACGTATTATCTGTTCCAAGGTTATCAGAAGATTTATTTTGCATTCTAAGAAGACTGCTTTCATTGTTGAGCACGATTTCATCATGGCCACCTATTTGGCTGATAGAGTCATTGTCTTTGAAGGTAAAGCTTCCGAGGATGCAGTTGCCAGATCTCCCGAATCTTTATTGACTGGTTGTAACAGATTCTTGAAGAATTTGAATGTTACCTTCAGAAGAGATCCAAACTCCTTCAGACCAAGAATCAATAAGTTGGATTCTCAAATGGATAAGGAACAAAAGCTGACAGGAAATTATTTCTTCTTGGAGAATACTGGATTGTGAGGAGCCGGTGCATGTACATTAGATACCTGACCTGCGGACTTTGAGCGAAGAAAAAGGTCCGTAGGGAGGGTTACCATAACGGACCTGAATGACGCAAGGGTTCCATTCAGTGGATAAAAAGGAGTGGACGGGTGGTGGCTAGGACACTATGTGGGACCCGAGCGGAGTGAATTCGTAATATAGATACAATATATATATATATATATATATATACATATACATATATACAGATATATTTATTCATTAATATATAGTCATAAGTCATACGAGGATGAACAGCTATAGGCCCAGGCCCACTAAACGAGTAAAAAGGTAAGTTGTTTCTAGTTTTTTTTTCTTTGGATTCAATTTCTTATCACTGATGTACAATACTAATGTGTGTATGGGGAGCCACTCAGACGAAACTGTCAGCTGAGTAAGAACACTACAGAACAATTGCAACCACTTGGAACGGCCATGCAAGCTTGTCCAACCCTCGCACGCTCCTACGGTCTCCTACTGATCCTGCACATCGCTCTAGTGTTCGTGTCCTGCATCTAGTCTGCAAACACTACAAGCGTGTCTAATTTTTTTTTTTGAAAAAGTTTTCCCAATCCTGCATGTGCTCTTTAAAACGAAAATTTTTCAAATCACAAACTCATTCGCAGAGGAAAAAACAGAAGAAAAAATGGAAGGCTTGCGTTTGTACATAGATTTCTCCTTTCCTCTTCTTCAAGTTTGACATACACTTTAATAGTACCATATCAAATCACCAAAAAACTCTAACCAAGTTCTTTTCCTATAGCAGATTTGTTTTAAACGCTTATTTAAAATAAATCCCCTTTGAAATAACTTACGGCTAGACCAAAAAAAAAAAAAAAAAAAAATAAAAAATAAAAAAAAAAAAAAAAAACCCCAATTATATTTTTTTTTTTTATATTATAAAAAACCCCCAAAAACATAAAAAAAAAAAAAAAAAAAAATTGTTGGGG